GTAAAGACGGGGTTTCACCATGTTGACCAGGATGGTCTCGATCTCTTGACCTTGTGATCCACCCGCCTCGGCCTCCCAAAGTGCTGGGATTACAGGCGTGAGCCACTGTGCCCGGCCGCCTCCATTTCTTTCTTTCTTTTTTTTTTGAGACAGAGTCTCATTCTGTCACCAGACTGGAGTGCAGTGGTGCAATCCTATAAGCTGAGCTAAATTTTGTATTTTTAGTAGAGGCACGGTTTCACCATGTTGGCCAGGATGGTCTCCATCTCTTGACCTGGTTATCCACCCGCCTCAGCCTCCCAAAGTGTTGGGATTACAGGCCCGGCTGTGAGACTATTTCAAAACAAAACAACACAACACAACAAAACAATACTCTGGTCATTGTGGGTAGCTGACCATAGAGGCAAGGATTGAAGGAGATGCTATATTGAAAATCCAGGTAAGAAATGATGATGGCTCAGGCAGTGGTAAAGAAGGAAAGAAGTGCTCACGTAGCTATCCAAGAGTTCCTTTAAGTATTTTTAAAAGAAGTTTGAACTGCATTTTCTTTTTTAGTTTCTTAAAGTACAATTTGGATACAAATAAACAGTTTAGAAGCAGGGATAAATAATATTCCCCTCCCAGGAGCAGAATGTGGGATAAGCAGTGTGGGCTAGGCAGCGTTTGAGGAGGGGTCAAGGAGAGGAGGACGTTGGGTACAGGAGATCCATTAAATGATGGAGGAAAAAGTTACTTTTGGCTGATTCTCCAGGTGCAATCCCTTGGTTCAGCAGAAGGTCGCATGCTAAATTGCTTTTTTCTTCTCCTGTCCTTCCCTATGCCTAAAAGTCTCTTGAGCCAATGGATTCTACCTTAGTGATACCTCTAAAGAGTTTTCTGAAGCTCCAGCCCCCTAGATTAACTTAATCTCTCCTCCTACCCAATTGTGATTTTGCTCAGTAGAGGACATCTTGAACAGCTATGGCAAGGACACCTGCCCTTGGATACTTACTTGCCCACATTCCATGTGCCTTTAACCAAATCACATTATGTATCTTGACTTCAGTTTCCTCATCTCTGAAAGGAGGGGACAGGAGTAAATGTCAACAGTCACATCTCACCCTAAAGTTTCATTGTGTTTTTCTTTCAGCTCCTTCCCAGAGTAAAACCGCTATGATCTCCTGATTTACAAGCCTGTATGCAGGTTTATTTTATTTTATTTTGAGACAGAGTTTCACTCTTGTTGCCCAGGCTGGAGTGCAATAGCACGATCTTGGCTCACTGCAACCACCGCCTCCTGGGTTCAAGCAATTTTCCTGCTTCAGGCTCCCAAGTACCTGGGATTACAGGTATGCACCACCATGCCTGGCTACTTTTGTATTTTTACTAGAGAGGGGGTTTCACCATGTTAGTCAGGCTGCTTTCAAACTTGACCTCAGGTAATCCACCTGCCTCAGCCTCCCAAAGTGCTGGGATTACAGGCATGAGCCACCATGATGGCCACAGGTTTATTTTTAAATAATCTTGTAATACACCTATGGCAATGTAATTATACAGATATTGTTACATGAGCATTAAACTCTAAGTCAGTAGGAAGACACTAAAACCAGAATGAAAACATAAATGGATGTGGGACCTGAAAGGAACAATGACAAAAAGTGGGTAATGGAGTATATTGTGCTTCACGTTTTGCTGAAATTATAGTAAATGTGATAAGAGACCTGTTTGGTGTTCAGAATTTTTACCTAAGAGAGAATGATTAGTTTTTCCTTTTTCATAATTCTCTGTCACGGTTAACTTACTTTTTAGCTTAATCATGAGAAAAATAGGCAGGCACATCTATGTGCCATGGTGGAAGCAGAGGGGAGGATGTGCTAAACACTTTTACACAATCAGATCTCATAATTACTCACACATCCACTATAGCAAAAATAGCACTGGCTGGGTGTGGTGGCTCACACCTATAATCCCAACATAAGGGAGGCAGCTCACCTGAGCTTAGGAGTTCAAGACCAGCCTGGCTAAGGAGGTGAAACCCTGTCTCGACTAAAAATACCAAAAAAATTCGCCCGGCATGGTGGCTTATGCCTGTAGTTCCAGCTACTCAGGAGGATGAAGGAGGAGAATAGCTTGAACCTGGGAGGTGGAGGTTGTAGGGAGCCGAGATCGCACCACTCACTGCACTTCAGCCTGGGTGAGAGAGCGAGACTCCATCTCCAAAAAAATAAAAAATAGCACTGAGGGGATGCTGCGAAACCATTCATGAGAAACTGCCCCTATGATCTAATTACCTCCCTCCAGGCCGCACCTCCAACGTTAGGGATTACAACTGAATATGGGATTTGGGTGGGGACACAGACCCAAACCATATCGAATGATTTCCAAAGATCACCCACCCATTTTTTTCTTTTAATTATAAGGCATTACCATTAAAGATGTCCCAAATATTTTCTCCTCTTGTAAAAGTACTGTTAATTTAAAGAGGTGGCTTCACTTACCTACACCATCGGCCAGGTTACCTTTATAGTAGTAGAAGTGGGGTCACCGCTCAAACAGGGGCACAGGGTAGGTAGCCATGGGCACTGTGGCCTTTTGGTAGGTAGTTGGTCCCTTATGAGACATCAGCTCCCATGGGTGCCTGCCCTGGCGAGCCCACTGCTGTCAGGCCTAGAGATGGGTCTTAGACCACATTTAATGGCAAAAGCTTTGGAAAGCTGCATTCCCATGCCGGTTTCTTTCCCTATGTTGTATTTTGTTTCAGTTGGGATAAAAAAAGAAAGGTGCAAACGCTGCTTTCAGCAATCAGACAGACTTATTTATTAGGTAAAGACCATGAGCAATATCTACCCTGGAGACTGGAGAATGTGATGGAAACGGAAGGTGTGAGCCTAGAGTCCACTGGCAAGACAAGCCACATGTATACAGGAACATGCTCAGGGGCAAATACAGAGGTGCAATTGGTCCAGCTGTGCTGAGCACAATGATGTAGCATTAGGGGACCCCGAGGAGAGGCAGCATGTAGGAGAGCCAGATGGGGTGAAAGGTGGCATAGAGTGGAACTGGAGGCGGTTGAAGCTAAACGAAGGTGTGTGTAAGGGGTTCGGGCATTGGGATGAAGGCTGAGGGGGCATAAGGCTGAGATGGTGGCTGATCAAGTGGTGGTGTCACTGAAGAATGATTCCTAGGAATGCTTTTGAAATGGAGAGATCTATATCAAAAAGAAGAGGGCAACTGGAAACTTGTGGAGTCAACAAACTGAGGGTGGAATGACCTCCAGGCAAGGGAGCAACAGGAGGGTGCAGAGAAAGGAAAAGGACACAAGGGACAGCTGTGCAAACAGCTTTTGAGTTTTGTCAAAACTTCGTCTATCACACTTTCTGCCTGACCATCCCTGCTCGTCTCAGTTCCTCTCTGCTCCCACTTTTCCACAGCTTAGCACCCACAGAAGTAGGGCCAGTCTCCTCTATCCTATAGGATATGGCTTAGAAAATTTGAGATATAGGCTGTAAAAACTCCATGGCTGTGTGTTCATCATGTACATCACTTCCCTGCATCAAGTTTCCTCCAAGGTCCTTTATGGGACTTCAGCCTGAGACTGTCCTTCCGCTGCACATTTTGAGTTTTCCACTTGCCTAAAGCCTGTCTTTCCACATATCCTTATCTGGGATACCAAGACATTTCAACCACAACCCCAGGCTAACCTGACCCCATCTTGATCCCTAAGCTGTCCTTTGAGTTTGCTCCAAGTAGTTTACTATAGGTTCTAGCCTTAAGGGATGAGGAGAACACTAGAAGCACTTTGAGTTACCTATCCCTTCATCCCCCAAATATTGGTACAGAAACAGATTAGGAAGGTGCAATCCTCATCCTCTCTAGCAGCAGCAAGGCAACCTTCACAGGATTAATTAATCACCACCCAATAGGAAGAAGCAGGCTGGGTGAAGCTGGCAGATGAAGCTTCAGAAGACTACGGAGGAGAGGGGTTAGAGCAAAGGAAAACAGATGAGCTGGGATTTTTTTTTAAGACACTCCTTGGCTGGGCTGGGTAGGGATGAGCTTAGAATGGAGAGTGTCTGCATCCCTGGAGGCAGAGTCCTCCCCCATGGAGGGCAATGGGATCTCCTTAGAAAGGTCCGGGACATTAGCAATGACTGTGACCCCTTCAGGCCCATCAGCAACTGGGCAGATGGTCAGGGGCTTTTTACCACAGGACCACAGGCAAAAGAAGGGCCGGAGCGGGCCACAGAAAGAGGCGTTGTCAAAAGTGTAGATATGGGAGCCATTATTCATACTGTAGAAGGAGATGTCTCCTGATTCATAGTCCAGGAAAATCCCAACCCGGCGGGGGCGGCCTGCCAGTGGCAGAGGGGTCCGGAGAGGGGTGAGGGCCCAGTACCCATTTCCATACAACTCCACAGCCCAGAACCCATTCTCAGGAGTCATGGGGTCGAAGCCTTTCTTCACCACGTTCTCCCTGCACACGCCGATGGCCCAGTCAGTCCTGTCTCCCACCTCCACCTCCCAGTAATGCCTTCCCGATGTGAAGGCCTCACGGCCCAACACACAGGGCCAGGAGTCAAATCTCTCTGGTTTCTCAGGCAGTTTCTGATGTGAATCTTCCAGTTGAACAGATTTTGAATCCTCATAAATAAAGAGGTGGGGATGGGCTGTGTCTGGGTCCAGAGTCACGTCAACTGCAGAGAGAGCAACAGCAGGTCTGACGTCAGTGAACGTTACAGATTACAGGACTATCTTTCCTTTCCCAAGAAACAGAGCACTGTTGTAGGAGTTGACAGGACTCCTGGAGGTGGGAGATGTTTGGTCTGCTCAGGGGTCTCCACTCACCACAGGATGCCCCCTGACCAGCAGCCAGAGGGTGATGTAAGGGCTGATTGTGCCTAGAGCCTAATGGGACCCTGCCAGAAGGGGATTTCTCCTGGCCATCTTCTGAGGGTTCTCTACGTGACTCACGGAAACTGTTGAGGCCATTTGTCATCACCGTTTTCCTTCCTGTCCTCATCACTAAACTGTGTTAGTGTTTTCATTGGCAAGTATCATAGCACTTTGACTTCCTAGGGGATAGAGCCCCAGAAGTTCAGAGCCACTGACCTGCATGCAATGTAGCCTTTTTCCATTCTGCAACAAAAGAGAAAGATAGTCACTGATAGGCTACATAATAAGAGAGAGAAAACTCTATGGGTGAAATAACGACAACAAGACAGGACTTACTGAGTTCTTCCAAGAGTTTCTCTGAAAAACAAACAAAAATGTCTCAGTGGTTTTCCACAGTGGACACAAAGGAGGGGACAAAACTTGTGTGGGAAACACACAAAGGAGGACTGTTTAATTCATATTGAAACATTGCCAATAAATCAAGAACAAGGATTTTGTTTAGCTTTGTTTTCGAAGAATGATGCAGGAAGTGCCTACATACTGGAACTGGCTTGGGATCAGATCTTTTTTTTTCTTTTTTTGAGATGGAATCTCTCTCTGTTGCCCAGTCTAGAGTGCAGTGATGCAATCTTGGCTCACTGTAACCTCTGCCTCCCAGATTCAAGCAATTCCCCCTACCTCAGCCTCCTGAGTAGATGGACTACAGGTGTGCATCACCACCCTGGCTAATTTTTTTGTATTTTTAGTAGAGACGGGGTTTCACCATGTTGTCCAGTCTAATCTTGAACTCCTGACCTCATGTGATCCACCTACCTTGGCCTTCCAAACTGCTGGGATTACAGGCATAAGCCACTGTGCCCAGCTTCAGATCTTTAATAATAAGATTGGTAGCGGGGCGCAGTGGCTCACGCCTGTAATCCCAGCAGTTTGGGAGGCCGAGGTGGGCAGACCACAAAGTTAGGAGTTTGAGACCAGCCTAGCCAACATAGTGAAACTCCATCTCTATTAAAAATACAAAACATTAGCCGGGCGTGATGGTGGGCGCCTGTAATCCCAGCTACGTGGGAGGCTGAGGTAGGAGAATTGCTTGATCCCGGGAGGTGGAGATTGCGGTGAGCTGAGATTGTGCCACTGCACTCCAGCCGGATGACAGAGTGAAACTCAGTCTCAAAAAAATAAATAAATAAAAAATAAGATTGGTGCTGGGTAACTGAGGTAAAAGTGGGAGTAAGGTCTGAGGGTGGATAGCAAGTAAACATCAGGTCAGATATCTTGATTAGACTCTGCCTGTGCCCCAACCCTCTGTGCTTCTTCATACTGGGCATCTGTGACTTCAGGAGCCTTATGATTCCTTCTAATTTTCAGATTTCTAGAATCAAGTATCTTCTTTTTTATCTTTCACCCAGGCTAGAGTGCAATGGTGCAATCTTGGTTCACTGCAACCTCCGCCTCCTGGGCTCAAGTGATTCTCCTGCTCAGCCTCCCAAGTGGCTGGGATTACAGGCACCCACTACCATGCTCTGCTAATTTTTGTATTTTTAGTAGAGATGGGGTTTCACCATGTTGGCCAGGCTGATTTCGAACTCCTGACCTCAGGTGATCCACTCACCTTGGCCTCCCAAAGTGCTGGGATTATAGGCTTGAGCCACCACGCCCAGCCTCAAGTATCTTCCTGTCATCCTAAAGGACTTGGGTCCAGCCTGCCTCTGAAGCACTCCTGACATGTAGTCCTTGTGGATACTATGATTTACCTTTAGAGCTGAATTCATTATTCTTCTCTCTGGATCTTTCCTTGTATAGTCTCCAAGTGAAAAATATGGACCCAATGGTGAGAAGTCCTAGAATCATCAGGATAACAGCCACAGCCACTATCCAGGGAGTCAGCCTTGGGAGGGAGGAAGCTAAAACAAAATCCCCAAGAAGGACATTAGTTGAGAAACTCTGAGCAAGTCCAGCTTCTCTCCAGATTCCAAAGGAGGGCAGAAGAGGTGATGGCCTGGACCACTCTTATCCCTCGTAGAGTGAAAAATAGTCACTCCAGTGTCACTCTAAACTTTTCAGGAAAAAAATGACTTTGAGCCGGAGATGGCAGAGAAAGAGAGAAATGAAGAGTCATTTTGGGACAGGACCTGTGAAATAATAAATATAATGGGCCAATTCATGTCATTATGGAAGTTCCTCCTTAACTATCAATGCAGAATGGGAGCCAAGAGGATGCAGGAGGTAAATAAGGAAGGAGAAATGTGTCTCTGTATGTAACAGAATGGGACTCACTGACCAAAGAATAAGGAAAGCTTCCTGCCTAAACCAGAGACAGTACCTGGGGAATAATGAGAGGATTTGCCACCTTGAGGACCCTGGAAACCTAGACAGAGCTCTAGCATGGGATGGGAGGGAGAAGTGGGTATAGGTGGAAATAGCAAAAGTTGAAAAATAACTTAGTCTTTTTGTTTACTTGAGGAGAGAAGGCTCTGGATCAGGAAAGCCTCCAGCGACAAACTTTCTCGTCTCACTTAGATCTTCTAAAATGGAAAATCTGGAATTTGGCTGGGCCTGTAATCCCAGCACTTTGGGAGGTTGAGGCAGGCAGATTGCTTGAGTCCGGAAGTTCAAGATCAGCCTGAGGGACATGGTGAAACCCTGCCTTTGCTAAAAATACAAAAAATTAGCTGGGCATGGTGATGTACACCTATAGTCCCAGCTATTCTGAAGGCTGAGGCAGGACAATTGCTTGAACCTGAGAAGCAGAAGTTGCTGTGAGCTGAGATCATTCTGCTGCTACACCACTCCAGCCTGGGCAACATAGCAAGGCTGTCTAAAAAATAAATAAATAAATAATCTGA